ACCTGCTGGGCTCCGGTGATCCTTCCGCCTCAGCCTTCTGAGTAGCCGGAATTACAGGCGCGCGCTACCATGCCCGGATGGTTTTTTGATTTATTGTAGAGATGAGGTCTCGCTGCCCAGGAGGGTCTCGAACCGGCGGGCTCAGGCAATCCACTCACCTCAGCCTCCCAAAGGCGCGGGATTACAGGCTGAGCCACCGAGCCCGGCTTGTTGCTTTCTTACTACAGAGTGGAGTTGCTGCTACATAGATCACAAAGCCCACAAAACCTATACTGTCTATTGTCTGACTCTACAGAAAAAGTTTGCTGATCTCTGCTTTAGACTGAGTGGTCTGGGAGGGTTTCCCTGAGGAGGTGACATTTAAGCTGAGACCCTAATGAAAGAGGAAGACTGGAGGTGGGGGGGGATGCAGAGCTGTCCAGGCAGAGAGAACAGAGAACAAAGGCAGGACCTTTCTCTTGAATCTAATAACAGCTTCTTTTTTTTGAGTCAGAGTTTCACTGTCGCCCAGGCTGGAGTGCAGTGGCACACTCACAGCCACTGCAGCCTCTTCCTGCTGGGCTCAGGCGATCCTCCTGCCTCAGCCTTCCAAGTAGCTGGAAGCATAGGCATGCACCACCAAACCCAGCTAATTTTTTTATTTATTGTAAAGACAAGGTCTCGCCAAGTTGCCCAGGTTGGTCTCGAACCTCTGGGCTCAGGCAATCCTCTCGCCACAAACTTCGCATAGTGCTGGGATCACAGGTGTGAGCCACTGTGCCTGGCTTTACAACAGCCTTTTTTTTTTTAGATTAGAAAAAAAAATTTTTTTTAGGTCAGAATTTTTTTGTTTTTAGATTAGAAAATATTTTTACAACAGCCTTCTAAAGAGAAACACGCTAGAAAAATGTGATGGGGCCCCAAGTCTCTGAGGGTGCTCAGAGGGTGCTGTGGCCTCTAGGGTGACAGCAGGGTTAAGGGCCAGGATGGCCTGGCACCAGAACTTGCTGAACCTCACGCTGGCCCCTTCTCAGCTTGGCAGGACATAGGAGCCCAGGAACTAACTGCATGTTGAATGGCTCTATCTGCCTTTCTGGGGCAATGACTGAGGATTTTAGATTCGTTCTCAGGAGGAGGTGAGAGGAGCCACAGACTCACCCCAGGTGCCCTACTGCCTCACGGCTGGCAGGAGGCCCAGAGGAGGCCAAGGTTGGGAGCCCCGTGACCATCACAAAGTCCTGTGGTAAGGGCAGCGGATGGGACAGCAGATAGAGAGGAGCAGCCCTCAGGGAATGCCAGCAGATGGGGCTTCTTGGTGCCACTAGAGGGGTGACAGCCTCAAGCCTTCCGCTAATAGGGCTGGCCAGAGAGAATCCTGCTCTCAGTACTTTGTGAGCCAGTTCATGCCTGCCGGGCTCTGTGAAAGGGAGGAAAATAAGCCATTCTTCCCATTTTATTTTTACTTTTGAGTTGGATCTTGCTCTGTCACCCAGGCTGGAGTGCAGTGGCAGGATCTTGGCTCACCACAGTCTTGAACTCCTGGGGTTGAGCATCCTGAGTAGCTGGGACTACAGGCGCACGCCACCCGCCTGGCTAGTTTTTCTATTTTTTTTTTTTTTTTTGGTAGAGATAAGGTCTCACCACATTGCCCAGGCTCATCTTGACCTTCTAGGCTCAGGCAATTCTTTCGCCTTAGCCTTCTAACTAGCTGGGACTATAGGCATGTGCCACAAAGCCCAGCTATTTTTTTTTTTTTGGTATATTTTATACAGACGAGGTCTCACTATGTTGCACAGGCTGGTCTTGAACTTCTAGGCTCAAGCAATTCTCCTGCCTTGGCCACCCAAAGTGCTGGGAATACAGGCATGAGCCACCACTCTTCATTCATGTTTATTATTATTATTGTTATTATTATTGATATTATTTTGAGTAGGAGTCTCACTCTGCTGCCCAGGCTGGAGTGTGGTGGCACGCTCACGGCCACTGCAGTCTTTACCTGCTGGGCTCAGGTGATCCTTCTGCCTCAGCCTTCCAGGTAGCTGGAACCACACGTATGTACCACCACGCCTGGCTATTTTTTTTTAATTATAGAGATGGGGTGTCACCAAGCTGCCTAGGCTGGTCCTGAACCCCTGAACTCAGGCAATCCTCTTGCCTCTGCCTCCTAAAGGGCTGGGATTACAGGCGCGAGTCACTGTGTCTACCACCTTATTTTATTTTAGTTTAGTCAGTCTCACTCTGTCACCGGCTGGAGTGTAGTGGCACGCTATAGCCACCGCAGCCTCGACCTGCTGGCCTCAGATGATCTTCCGCCTCAGTCTTCCAAGTAACTGGAACTGCAGGCACGTGCCACCATGCCTGGCTAATTTTTGATTTATTGTAGAGATGAGATCTCGTCAAGTTGCCCAGGTGGGTCTCGAACCCGCGGGTTCAGGCAATCCACTCACCTCGGTTTCCCAAAGTGCTGGAATTACAGGCTGAGCCACGGAGCCCAGCCACTTTTATTCTTTTTTTTTTTTTTTTTTTTTTGAGTTGGAGTCTTACTCTGTCGCCCAGACTGGAGTGCAGTGGCCACTCCCGGCCACCGCAGCCTCGACCTGCTGGGCTCTGGCGATCCTTCCGCCTCAGCCTTCCGAGTAGCCGAATTACAGGCACGTGCTACCACACCCAGCTGATTTTTTGATTTATTGTAGAGATGAGGTCCCGCTGCCCAGGCGGGTCTCGAACCCGCGGGTTCAGGCAATCCACTCACCTCAGCTTCCCAAAGGCGCGGGATTACAGGCTAAACCACTGAGCCCGGCTCACTTTTATTCTTTAAGAGAAAGTTCTATGTTTTCCAGGCTGGTCTTGACACTCCTGGATTCGTAGCTTCCCCTGCCTCAGCCTCCCAAAGTGCTGGGATTACAGCCATGAATCACTGCATCTGACCTGTTCCAGGCATTTAAAACAGAGAATAGCTGGGCATGGTGACTGAAGCCTGTAATCCCAGCACTTTGGGAAGCCGAGGCTAGAGGATTGCCTGAACCTGCGGGTTCAAGACCAACCTGAGCAACATGGTGAAACCTCATCTCTACAATAAATAAAAAAATTAGCCAGGCGTGATAGCACACGCCTGTAGTTCCAGCTACTCGGAACGCTGGGGTGGCCGTAAGCATGCTACTGCACTCTAGCCTGGGTGATGGAGTGGGACTCTAACTAAAATAAATAAACGAATAAAAGTAAAACAGAGAACAAGATTGGGCATGGTGACTCATGCCTGCAATCCCAGCACCTTGGAAAGCCGAGGTGGGAGGATCACTTGCAGTTAGGAGTTTTGAGACCAGCCTGGGCAACATAGCAAAAACCCTTCTCTACAAAAATTTACAAATTAGCCAGGCAGGGTGGTTCACATCCCAGTACTTTAGGAAGTTGAGGTGGGAGGATTGCTTGACACCAGGAATTCAAGACCAGGCTGGGTGACACAGTGAGATGACATCGCTACAAAAAAACTTAATTAATTAATTTATTTGGATTGGAGTCTCACTCTGTCACCCAGATTGGAGTGCAGTGGCACGCTCGTGGCCACCGCAGCCTCGACCTGCTGGGCTTAGACGATCCTTCTGCCTCAGCCTTCCAAGTAGCTGGAACGACAGGTGCGTGCTACCACACCCAGCTTATTTTTTGATTAATTGTAGAGATGAGGTCTCACCAATTTGCCCAGGCTGGTCTTGAACCCCTGAGCTCAGGCAATCTTCTTGCAAAGTATGTTAGGCATCATGTGGAAAAATAATTTAGGGAAAGTGGAAAAGTGGATGTGTTCCTGGTGCATTTTGTGCACAGTGGGGGTGGCGGAAAGTGTGTGTGGGGGATAGGCCTCTAACTCGGGGTGCGGTGGGGGGGGCAGGGTTGAGTACTGTAGATTCTGGAGGTTTTTCTCTGATGGAGATTGGAAGCCACTGGAGGTTCTGAGTGACTGCCGTTTTAAAGGATCACTCTGGCGCCCTGTGGAAGACTCTAAGGATCAATGGTAGAGTCACAGGAGACTATCCAGGGAGCAGCTGCGATTATCTTGTAAGATATGGTGCCTTGGATGAGGAAGGGACGTAGCTGCAGAGGCAGTCATTCAACTCCCAAGGCCTTCCTTTCCCATAGGGTACCAGCCCTCCTCGGGGGTCTCACCTACCCCTCCAACCTCGCCTTTGTTCCTTCCTGCATTCCCAACCCCAATCCTACGGGCCACGGTGGGCATACAAAAGGTCTCTATGAAGTATTTGTTGGATCAATGAGTAAATTAATGAATGATCCATCCCTGGATCACCAGCAACTATTTTCACGCTAGGCATATAGACATTTATCGTCAATAAATTCGTACAGATGGAATACTGGACAACCCCGCCAAGTGCAGGTTGAGGCTCAGCCTGGAAATGTGCCCCTCTCCGCCCCAACCTCCTCCCCCGGCACAGCCGAGGCCAGCAGCTGGGCATCCTTCCTCCACAACTCTTAGAGTGAAGTCCAGGGCAGTGGGTGGAGGACGCTTGCCCTCCGGGTGAGTCACAGTGACCGCACGGGAGTTTCCCCAAAACACCCCAGTCTTGTGGTGGGGAAAAGCCAAAATCTCTCGGGGCCAGATAGTCATGTGGCCCAAGCAGGACACACATCCTGAAAATCCTCGGGACGGGGGGGTGGGGTGGGGGGGAAGAAGGCGGAGTGGAGGGGGGAAAGCAGTGTCCTCCCACGCACCTCCTCCCACCCTCGGGGCACTGAGACGGAGGGATAGAGGGCCGTCCGCGCGCGGCCGAGGACCCGCCCCTGCCCGCGCCTCCAGCGGAAGCCGGAAGCAAAGGTGGCCCCGCTAGCCCCGCGGCTCCGAACTCTGTGGTCTTAGAGGCTCCGCAGGATGGGGGAGAAGATGGCGGAAGAGGAGTGAGTGAGCTTTTTCCGGGGCGGCGGAGGCGGCAGGGCTAGCCCCGCGGGTGACAGCGAGCGCCTCAGGCCGCCCGCTGACCCCGGAAGGCGGAGCTCCCTGTGCCCCTTGGCCAGGGCTGGCCATGCCGGTGCCAACGAGGGGGGCGGGGTGGGTGGGTCTGGGCCCTGGCGGGCCTGCATTCTCCTTGAGGTCGGTCCCTTGAGCTGGGTATCGGCTGCCCGGCGCAGGCCCAGGAGCCGTCTTGCGGAAGCTGCAGCCCATAGTTCACTCTCCCTGTTCTCGGTCATCGATGGTTACTGGGCGCGCTCCTCCGCCTCCTCCAGGAAGTCGTCCGGGTCCCCCACGCCCACCCCCTGCTTGGCCAGTCGCCGCCTCAGTAGCGATCAATTTTCACGCCTTCTCGTCCACTGAGTTTCATTCAACCGTTGACTGTTGGCTGCCTACTCCATTCTAGTCCCTGGGCACATAGTCATCATAAGGGAGGCCGACCAGGAGCGGCCCTCTGGGAGCTTCCATTCCCGTGGGAAAAGACCATAAATAGACAAACAAGGTGGTTCCGGATAGTGATACGTGCTCTGAAGGACGTGTGTTAGGGTGGGAGGGTCTACTTAAAGGTGACATTAAGCTCAAACTTGAATGACCAAAAGGAGGGCAGGAAAGGTCACATCAAGTTCAAAAGGCCCTAGTGAAGAAAGGTTTTAGTGCTTTTGAGTGGAGGAAAGGCAGGGTGGCTGCTGGAGGGGGGTTAGCAGTGAGATAGGGAAGGGGTCTGTGTCCTGCTGGTGCTTCTGGGCAGGACCACTGCTAACCCATCTCCATGCCTACAGGCCAGTCTGTTGCTTGTTGGGATGCCCTATCCCCATTTGTGGAATGAATATATGAAGGTGATCAAGGAACCCTCTGAAGAATCCTGGCTTCCCTCACCTGATAACTTCAGATGTGTTTCTTGGCCTGATAGATCTCATTTCATTTAGTCAGCTTATTTATTGAGCATTTGCTCTGTCCCAAACATTAAACTAGTCCTCGGCAGCACAGAGCTCTTAAGAGATGTTATAACCCTGTGATTTCAGGTTTGGATTTAAAGTTTGATTCTCCCACTGACTGAGATTTGGGCCAAGTTATGCAACCTCTCTGACCCCAAGTGATTCATGGGTGGTCAGGGGAAAATACCCATCTTGGGCATGTTATGCTTATTAAATGAGAGGTGGTGTGTTACCTAGTTCCTGGATGAAGCAGTGCCAATACACATTAGCTGTTATAATCATGATTTTAATTATTACTATTATATCAATATGACCGTGGATCCCAATCCCAACACAGTGTGAGGAGAGAGCTGTGGGAACAATAGCAGTGGGGTGGGTAAATTGGGATGGGGTATTACAGAGGAGCTTTTTGAAATCTGAGAAGGATTTAGAAAGGAAGGGCATTCTAACCAGATCAGCAACTGGAAAAGTCAGATGACTTCTTTGATTTGCAGAAATTATCCAAGGAAAAGATGAGGTGGGGCAGTTGGGGTGGTGTGGCCGTAGACAAAAAGAATGAACTGGAGAAATGAAGGTACTAAGTAAACAGTGTTGGGCTGTGGCATGTGACGGGATGCCAGTTTACCTCCCTTTATCCCCCCATTCAGTGCCAAAGGGCAAGTGGTGTTCTACTTCGACACTAGCCCTGATTTCCCCCTTGTTCCTGAAGCCACCAGGACCACGTGCTGTGCAAGCAGGCAGGCATTTTGTTAATCGGTTTTCCTGTGAGGCCCATAAAACTCCTTGCCAGTTTCTCTTTCTGGTCTGAGGTTGTGAGTGGATCCTCTGGGGCCTTTTTCCTGTATCTAATTCTGCTTTTTATGTCCTCCAGCAGGTTCCCCAATACAACTCATGAGAGTTTCAATGTCACCCTCCACACCACCTTGGTTGTCACGACAAAGCTGGTGCTCCCGACACCCGCCAAGCCTATCCTCCCGGTACAGACAGGGGAGCAGGCCCAGCAGGAGGAGCAGTCGAGTGGCATGACCATCTTCTTCAGCCTCCTCGTCCTAGGTGAATGCAGGGCACCATCGTCTGCCACGTCCAGTGTCTGTGCTCTGTCTGTGTGGTTAACCCTGTCACTCCTGTTTACTTTGTCACATCTTCCTCCTACTTCATAACATCATCACAGTATGCTCCCTGTTCTCCATGAAACCATGGAGCTTAGCAATTCTGAGGAGCCCTTGATGTAATATCTTAGACAGCCTTTGAAAGAAAGAATTAAAGCATTTTAGACCTAGAAAGAATCTTGAACATCTAGTTCAGTGGATTCCAAAGTCTGCTCATGAGAGAGAGAGAGAGAGAGAGAGTGTGTGTGTGTGTGTGTGTGTGTATGTGTATGTAGCTGTAGGAGGAGGGAGTCAAATGGGAAGGTATCTGACTTCTGACTTCCTGACCCTAGCTTCAACCAGAGCAGAATTTTATCTGTTGTATTTATTAGACTTCTATGTGACATTTTCTTCATTAAACATTTTGCTGCAGAGTGCAGGAGCAGAAACCCTTGCCTAGCACCCTGTTCTCCTCAACCTCCATCATTCCGTTAGCCATGATCGTCACTTTGCCATGTCTGCGTACATATTCCAATGCCGTATTCCACCTGTGCTGCTATTTGCTTATGTGATGTTTTTGTTTAAATAATCCACTCTCCCAAATATAAATCTCATTTTGTTCAACCTCCTTTAATGGGTGAGGGTGTGTAGGCTCCAAGAGCCCAAGTGGTCGTCAGACCTGGTTGGTGGAAGACTAGAGACTGAAATCCTACCTGCCAGATGTCAGTCGAGAGGTTTAGATAGAAGGCAAAAACATGAATGCTTCTCAGAGGCAGTAGACAGTAGACAACTATTTTAGACAAAAGAAATACAGTTGAAACTACACAGCCACTTTGATTCGCTGACTAAGGAAGAAATAGCTTAGAATTTGACCCAAGTCCAAATTCTTATTAGAAAGTAAAGTTGGCATGTTTATGTTTTCTGCTTTTCTTTAAGGATACCAAACTCATATTTCTTTTTTGAGTCGGGTTTCACTCTGTTGCCCAGGCTGGACTGCAGCAGCAGTCACAGCTCACTGCAGCCTTGACCTCCTAGGCTCAGGTGATCCTTCTGCCTCAGCCTCCCAAGTAGCTGGGACTACAGGCATGTGCCACCATGCCTGGCTAATTTTTGGTAGTTATGAGATCTAACTGTGTTGCCTAGGGTAACTTCGAATTCTTGGGCTCAAGTAATCCTCCCATCTTGGCCCCTCAATATGCTGTGATTATATGTGTGAACCACCATGCCCAACCCAAAGTCATATTTCTGTTTTTTGGTTTTTTTGTGTGTGTTGGAGTCTCACTCTGTTACCCAGACTGGAGTGCAGTGGCCACTCCCGGCCACCGCAGCCTCGACCTGCTGGGCTCCGGCGATCCTTCCACCTCAGCCTTCTGAGTAGCCAGAATTACAGGTGCGCACTACCACGCCCGGCTGATTTTTTGATTTTATTGTAGAGATGAGGTCTAGCCTGCCCAGGCGAGTCTCGAATCCGTGGACTCAAGCAATCCACTCACCTCAGCCTCCCAAAGGCACAGGATTATAGGCTGAGCCACCAAGCCCGGCTCAAAGTCATATTTCTAATTAGAATTTTTCAGAGGGTTGAAAGGTGGAACTGAGTTTTTATTGAGTATTTCTCTGATGTCTCTTAGGACTGTTTTTGAGGAAATGTATAACTTTTCTCATGTTTATATTCAGACTTTGGGAAGTGGTCAGAAAATTCTAATAATATTGTCATTTTATTTTATTTTTTAGTTGGATTTTCACTCTGTCACCCAGGCTAGAGTGCAGTGGCACACTCACAGCCACCACAGCCTCTACCTGCTGACCTCAGGTGATCCTTCCGCCTCAGCCTTCCCAAGTACTGGGAACTACAGTTGTGTACCACCACACCTGGCTAATTTTTTTTTTTTTTTTTTTTTTTTTTGAGTTGGAGTCTCACTCTGTCGCCCAGACTGGAGTACAGTGGCCGCTCCCGGCCACCGCAGCCTCGACCTGCTGGGCTCCAGCGATCCTTCTTCCTCCTCAGCCTTCCGAGTAGCTGGAATTACAGGCATGAGCTACCACGCCCGACTGATTTTTTGATTTATTGTAGAGATGAGGTCTCGCTGCCCAGGCGGGTCTTGAACCCGCAGGCTCAGGCAATCCACTCACCTCAGCCTCCCAAAGGCGAGGGATTACAGGCTGAGCCACCGAGCCCGGCTTCTGGCTAATTTTTTAATTTATTGTAGAGATGAAGTCTCACCAAGTTGCCCAGGCTTGTCTTGAACACATGAGCTCAGGCAATTCTCTCACCTCGAACCCCCAAAGTGCTGAGATTATAGGCGTGATCCACTGTGCCTGGCCAATATAGTCATTTTTATTTGAAATCCTAGGATCATCCTTGTCTTTCATAGAGTTTTAGAAACTTTTAAGTTTTAGAAACTTTTAAGCTGAATACTGAGAAGGTACATAAACCATAGGGTACAATGGCCTGTACAGATTTCATACACTCTGGTAATTTTCTACTCTGTACATGAAGTTGAATTCTATTTCTGGAGGATTGTTTCCACAGTCTAGGACTCCTTTTTGTTTTCTTTTGTTATTATTGTTGTTGTTGAAGACAAAGAAGAAAAGCAGTTCTTTTCTTTTTTCTTTCTTTCTTTTTTTTTTTTTGAGTTGGAGTCTCACTCTGTTGCCCAGACTGGAGTGCAGTGGCCGCTCCCGGCCACTGCAGCCTCAACCTGCTGTGCTCCGGCGATCCTCCCGCCTCAGCCTTCCAAGTAGCTGGAACTACAGGCACGCGCTACCACACCCAGCTAATTTTTTGATTTATTATGGAGATGAGGTCTCACCAAGTTGCCCAGGCGGGTCTCGAATCCACGGGCTCAGGCAATCCACTCACCTCAGCCTTCCAAGGCATGGGATTATAGGCTGAGCCACTGAGCCCGGCTAGTTCTTTTCTTAAATAAGAAATCTTTAGTCTTCCTTCAGAATTAAGGAGTGTTATTAGTCTATTTACATTACTGTCAGTGTGAGATGTTAGAGAATATAAGAGGCAGGCCTGGAAAAAAACATTTGTAATTACTTCTTTAAAGAAAGGTAAGAAAAATAAGTAAGACTTTCAAAGTGTGGAGTATTTTAAGATTAGCTGTGCTAGAGACCACAAAACAGGTTTCTGTAATGTGCTTTTTAAGCTAGGCAAAATCCTGCCTGGTGTTAATGCTAATCTTTGGGACCTGAAAGCCGAACTGTGTTTAATGGGGCTGTATACCTGTCTTGGCTCGTCTTCTCTTCAGACAGGTTATAAACCTATTCTCTAGAGCCATGCGCATGTTAGGTGGGTTTCATTTCACTTCATCAGACTCTTTTTTTTTTTTTTTTTTGAGTTGGAGTCTCACTCTGTCGCCCAGACTGGAGTGCAGTGGCCGCTCGGCCACCGCAGCCTCGACCTGCTGGGCTCTGGCGATCCTTCTGCCTCAGCCTTCCAAGTAGCCAGAATTATAGGCACGCACTACCATGCCCGGCTGATTTTTTTATTTATTGTAGAGATGAGGTCTCGCTGCCCAGGCGGGTCTCGAACACGCAGGCTCAGGCAATCCACTCACCTCAGCCTCCCAAAGGCATGGGATTACAGGCTGAGCCACCGAGCCCAGCTTCTCTTTTTTTTTTTAAGTAAAATTGAAGTCGTTTTTTTCTCTGTTCTTGTATATTATTATGTATTTCTGATTAGATACCCAAACAATGGAAATCAGATAAAGTTTTTTAAAATTACCATTAACAGGTAACTTGCTAATTCATAGGTATATGAACTATAGGGGACTGAGGGTAATCAGTCCATAGTTTATTCTAGACTTCAGAAGCTCCTGACCTGGAATTTGCTTGCTACTTTTGTTTACTCTTTTAGTTAATTCAAATGAAATTGTAGCTTTTGTGTCCTGTAAGCATGCCACAGGATTACATCCTCCCCTTTGCTGAGGAGGGACGACAAAACGCTTACTTTAGACTTTCAGAAGCTTGCATTTAGCCCTTGCTGATCTTTAACTGCACAAGAAACAGTGGTGAGTCATTATTACTGACTTAGACTAGTTTAACAGTTAACATTGTACCAAGCACAGTGGCTCATGCCTGTAATCCCAGCACTTTGGGAGGCAGAGGCGAGAGGATTGCTTAAGCCTAAGGTTCGAGACCAGCCTGGGCAACTTGGCGAGACCTCATCTCTACAGTAAATCAAAAAATTAGCCAGACATGGTGGCACAAGCCTATAGTTCCAGCTACTTGGAAGGCTGAGGTGGAAGGATTGCCTGAGCCCAGCAAGTCGAGGTTATGGGTGGCTGTGAGTTTGCCACTGCACTCCAGGCTGGGCCACAGTGAGACTCAGACTCAAAAAAAAGCAGCAATTAACATCATTTGACACATACATTTTATGGATCATTAAACTTCATGGAAATATTAAAATTGACATGTTTGTGTTTTAATATACTTTATTTTATTTTTTATTTTTTTTATTTTTGAATTGGAGTCTCACTCTGTCACCCAGACTGGAGTGCAGTGACCGCTCCCGGCCACCGCAGCCTCGACCTGCTGGGCTCCGGCGATCTTTCCGCCTCAGCCTTCCAAGTAGCTGGAATTACAGGCGTGTGCTACCATGTCCGGCTAATTTTTTGATTTATTGTAGAGATGAGCTATCACCAAGTTGCCTGGGTGGGTCTCGAACCCACGGGCTTAGGCAATCCTCTCACCTCGGCCTTCCAAAGTACTGGGATTACAGACTGAACCATTGAGCCCGGCCTCTCATTCTTTTTTTATTGTAGTAAAATAAACATAACGGAAGGTCTTAGGGTCTGTAATACTAAGTGATCTATCACAGAAACACAGAACTGAGTACCACATGTTTTCACTCATAAACAAACCTTGAACAATTATCATAATACTATAAAAAAGGGATTGGCGGTAATGGGAAACTGCCAGGGGAGGGGGGGTACACCTCATCCACAAGGGTACTGCATA